CTCTGGAAATAGGTACGAAGGAGTCGACGAGGGCAGGGAGTTTTGACCCACCCACCCCAACAAAGGCCTTGAGCACCCTCAAGATCCCCCAGGAGCCTTCAGCAAAGCCTCCTCGGGGAGGGGTCGGGATTGGCCAAGGCAGGCTTAGGAAGGCACCGCTATCAGGATGCGCCGTTCATCCCAAGTCACGGACCAAAAGAGAAGCCAAACCCAACTTTGCCAGCCTTGGAGAGGACACCGGATGCCCGTGGCTGGCCTGACTGCAAGGGGACGCAGAGGAACACAGCCAGACAGCCAGCCTCTCTCTGGAAATGGGTACGAAGGAGTCGAGGAGGGCAGGGTGTTTTGATCCACCCACCCCCCAACAAAGGCCTTGGAGCACCCTCAAGATCCCCCAGGAGCCTTCTCATCCTTGAGACGTGAGAGGAGGTCCCCGCCAGGTGAGCATCCTGGCACGGTTTGGACGCCCTTGCTTTCCCCACCCATTCCTGGACTCACTCCAGGGCCCTGGATGGGAGGGTGCTCCCCCCCTCCTCGAATCTCCTCCAGTCTCCTTCTGGTCTCTCCATCTCATCCCCATGGCCATGATGGCGCCTTTTCTCTCCTCCTCCTCCTCCACCCACTTTTCCTTTTTTCCCCCCACTCTTTTCACAACACCAGGCCTTCGACGCCTCACTCTCCGACTAGCGGCCACCAGGGGGCATCCTCTTAATATAGAGAAACGGATCCAAGGAAACAAAGAACCAAAATGGTAACATGGCCATTTTTAGAAAGCTGACACTCACCTTCTGATGGTGAAGAGAGGATTCCCTTCACCCGGAGATCTAAGGAATCCAGGGGGACCTCCAGGTACTCCATGCTGTTCTCCCGCCCAGCTCCTCCTTGGCTCTCCAAAGGGGGCTTGTAGGGGGCTTCCGAACCTGGGATGAAAATATATACAGATATTTATATAGCCAGGAGAGAAATATGCATGGATGAGTGTGTGTGTGTGTGTGTGTCTCTCTCTCTCTCTCCCTCTCTCTCCCTCTGTCTCTCTATAAGGCCACATTCATCTCCAGCAGACTGAACGCAAGCCACCACACAACTGAAGGATCTGTAAATACAGAGGCAGCCTTCGAATAATTAAAAGGCAAGCACTGGGCCAAGCGATCTTTTGAGAACCCTACGCTCCCTTTTTTCCGGTGCCCTGCTAACAGCCGGGATAAAAGATCTTAGCCTCCACCAGCCGCACCAGGAACAAGAGAAGTCCTCTCGTCCGGGGACATCCAGCTGCTCCTGTACTGCACAGGAAGGGGAATGGCGAAGGAAGGAAGGAAGGAAGGAAGGAAGGAAGGAAGGAAGGA